CTGCGTGTACTTTCATCATCAAGTATGGATGTCATTGTCACTCTCTTCATGGTGGTGATCTAATTGGGAATAATCTACCGATTGCTGTCTCAGTACTATTCCTTTAATACTACTAGCAATTGATGAACTGCGAGATCTTTTGCGCTCCCTAGTATCAACTTCTTCATTGTCTGTAAAACAAATATATGTGAATTATTTATGTATATCCCTATGTATACCTTTATATTTAAGTAATAACATTATCAATATCTTAACCCAGGGGACATGCTGATAGGACTGTTCTATGTTTCATTGAGTCACATCTAAGCTGCATGTGCTGGGGGGGGAGGGGAGGGGGAGGGCTGGATACTCCCTTTGTCCAAGTTCTAAGGGTAGTCAGTGTTCAAGTACAAAATGTGTACTAATTTGTCTTAGGTGTCTATCTTGAATGCACTCCTGTTCTGTTTGTTTTCCCAGTGCCTTTTGTTAAAATTATATTAATCAATAAAAATATAATTCTCACCTTCACTTTTCTGAGAATCCTTGCTTGTTTGTCTACCATATCTTGATTTCTTTCTCACATCAGACTTCTGATCTTGTTTTCTTTCATCTTTAGAATCATTGTCTTCTTCAGAACTATTTTGAGAAATATCTTCACTCTTTTTTCTTTTCACAAATGATTTCAATCTAGGACGTTTTTCTTCCACAGGCTTAGAATTATTCTGGACATTGGTTAAAATTGAGGTTCGTAAATCCTCCAAAGAACTTTCCCTAGAAGCTTCTCGGCTGGAATCAGCATAACTAAGGTTAAGTAATGCAGGGTTTATTGGAGGACAAAGTTTACTTGAAGCTGCTGCTTTTACAGGACCATCATCAGGTGGTAGGTTTTCTCTCAGTGGACCACCATCCGAATCAGATTCTTCACTTATACCACTATCAGGTCTGTTACTGGCATCCATAACTTAAGAAAAAAAGAAATTATTATAAGACATTCRGTGTCAGTGGCTACTGTTTCAAGCTTAGTGGCAAAAAAAGCACACACACGTGCACAAAAAAAAAMMAAMAAAAAACGAAAAGCTAATCATAAAATAATTRTCATAAATGTTGCTTTCAGATTAGCTAGTGGCATATTCAGTTTCTATTTTGCCATTCTTAAATCTGCTTATGTGTTGTACTTCTTCCAACACKTCTTTTGTCCTGCAAATCTCTATGTAACTGAACTGTACACAGCACAATTGCACATTTTTTCTTTATAATGGGCTTTTTTCACATTGCAGCCATGCTGGTTTGAACACTAGATTCCACCACCACCACCTTGCATTCATTCATTATGTGGGTGAAACAAAGGTCTTTATTTTCATGAGAATACACATGATCACCATGGGATAAAGGGCCATGCCGCAAGGTTGTGAGACCAATTGCTTAACTATGCTGCATGTATATATAATTATATCATTCGACCTCTGGTTTGATTAAAATCAATGTTAATGCTGCATTAATGTCATTTTTGTACAAAGGATTCACTCTAGTACTAGGTATTGTTTTTTCAACTTTGTTTATTGTCAATCAAATTTACTAAGCTTTTGGATTAATTTTTCATCCTCTGAGTATTAGAGGAACGACACTTAGCAAGCTCAAAAACCACAGTTGAAAAAAAATACCTAGATATCTGGATAAATATTACAATAATACAAAAAGTAGCAAAGATTTGACAATGAGCTAAGAAAGTACAAACAAGAAGTACTGAACTAACCTGATTTTGCATTCTTTTTTGTCTTAGTTAATTCATTCTCAAGGAATTTAACTATTTTCTTTTGCTTCATTGTATCTTTTTTTAGTTTCTCACAGAACTCAAAGACTGTGAGTTCTGGGCAACTAGATTTAATGTACTGTAAAACCTGKCTAGCTTGGTCTTTGTCAAGTGCTTTAAGAACATCTTCATCCATTTCAAATTCTCTACCAAGTTCCATCCAATGCCCAATTCCCACTGTTTTAGGTGTCAACATGTTTATAAGTTTATCCTCAACAGTACAGTTAAGTTCACTGAATAGTTTCCACTCTATGGAAACAAATAGAGAAAATGATAGAGATAATTAGCATGTGATTTAWGAATAATATTTCTAATTCATGCTATGAGTGGTCAAAATGTTATTTTGGATGACAGAGTATWTAAAATGATCACATCATTGTCTTCTGCACATATGCTCTAACTGAATTTGAAGAATTTGAACTGTTCAAAATCTCAGATTGAGTAGCACACTGCAAATAGTAATATATTCACCATACAGCCAAACAAAATAGTTTTTGATTGGCATATGAGGCATGACCTTTGAGTTAGAAATGTG